GGGCACAAAATCAATATCCATCGCATGTCATGCTCCCATGAAGCTTGTGATATAGTCAGACCTTACGCATCATGCTAAATACTAAACCCAGTGCATAGTATTACGTGACATAAACGACGATTAAGACGTAACATGAATCTGTAACAACCTGAAATGAAAGATCTGAAAACAGAAAATGTCGGCACGGCTACGAATAACTTTTAACATAAAAACGTCAAAACCGACAATTTCTCGACAATCTTTTCTATCGGTATGTGAACCATCTGTCCATGATACCGTTAACGAGTGTATTCAGGTGACGCACTCGTCCGTGAACTGCTCCCCCCCCCCCCCCCATTAGCAACCCTGTTAATTTATTCAACCGTTGTAATGCATCCCCTAACACGCTCATCTCATCTACTCCCCCCAATCTCCGACAATATTTAAGGGTTCTTTCTACTGTCCTCACTTTCCTTTTAGTCCCTCCATTTGCTGCAGTACCTGAAACCCCGATTACTGTCTTACAATAAAAAACACAAATGTCCCTGCATCCAGACAACAAAGAGGAAACAGCCTTCTCCATCGGTCAGAGGCTGTGGAAGTTCTAACAATGTTCGAACACCTGACATAGCCGATTCCGTGGGGCCAAACTAACAAAGCCAGTCCGAGAAAAGGATGGAAGGATCCTGTTCATATGGACCTGTCGTCACACAGAACACTAAATAATAATAACCTTGTAATCCTGGGGTCTCGGGTTCGCATTTATAACTTGTGTTGGGCAAGGCCGTGGCCTAGGCAACACGGAGTTTTCCTCATTGGCATCCCAACAATTACTCCATTCACACACAGAAGAAGGGAATGGCAAACCACTTCTGGATCATCTGCCAAGAACGTATATGAACAGGTCCCAGTCCGAGAAAAGGATGGAAGGATCCTGTTCATATGGACCTGTCGTCATACAGAACACTAAATAATAATAATATAACCGTCGTAGTCGGCCGGACGTCCCGGAAACGGCTTGACAACTTGGGAAAGGTGTTCCAGAGGTTTCGCGGGGCGTAACCCTGTAAAGCGCCAACTATCACCAGAGGTGAGGCTGGATGCAGAACGGCGTTGGCCGCTGCCAACGGACGAACACGAGTTGAGGAGCGTCCTCGGGTTGTAAACCAACAACAGGAGGTTCATTGCTGGATCTGCAGACATCGCAAGGCCGCTGACCCAAATCACTGAAGGGAAGCAGACTTAGCGGTGGTCCCCAGAGCGATGGCTTAAATAATAGCGCAGCGGCGAGTTGATGGTCAAAAGATATGCAAGTAATGTCGGAACTGGAGGTTCACTATCGAAAATGCAGGACTGTCAGAAGCGCTCAGTGGCTAATTGCAACAAGGCCATATTCAGGGCTAAGGAAAAACTACTACGTGGCTCGGCGGGAATTTCTTGTTGTAAAAATACTCCCACAAACGTCTCTACGAAGAAGAGTCCTCTCACACGTCCAACATCAATAATTGTATTTGGAAAAACGTTTCTTATAATTTTGCAATCACTTCTTATCTTTTCTTTTTATTTTCTAATCTTATTTATTTACGACTTCACTATTGTAATCCAGGTTAAGACGATATACTGAAAAAATTAATAACATTTATAGTTAAATTTAGGATTCCTTAGGTATCATCCCACCATCAATAAATGTGTTGAATGTGCAACACCTTTTCGCATCGTGCAAGGCCATCGCTGTGATCTGAACTCTCTCGTAATTTGGCGAGTAATTTCGGACGTTCCAAGACGTGACGGGATGCCGTTCAACAGTTCTAATCAGCTTCATAATTCACTACTCAAGGTTTCTCATACGCAAATCGTAGCCCAGCACCTGCCAGTGTTTCTCAACGGGTGGACCAAGAACCGATGTCGGCACATAAGTTTCTGTTATGTTTACCACAAACCGAAAATTTACCGTTCTTAAGCAGCTAACTATTTTTTCGTTATTTAAAGAGACGAGGAATTTATGGCAACTTAAACATCCTTCACCTGACACGGTGGTCTAGCGGTTAGAACGCTGGCCTTGTAATCCTGGGGTCTCGGGTTCGATTCCCGGCGGTGCCCGAATTTATAACTTGTGTTGGGCAATGCCGTGGTCTAGGCAACACGGAGTTTTCCTCCGTGGCATCCCAACAATTACTCCCTTCACACACAGAAGAAGGCAATGGCAAATCACTTCTGGATCATCTGCCAAGAACGTATATGAACAGGTCCCAGTCCGAGAAAAGGATGGAAGGATCCTGTTCATATGGACCTGTCGTCAGACAGAACACTAAAAAAATAAATAAAAACATCCTTCCTGACACCATCGCATCGAATTTTTAGTTATATTAGAGCTGGAAATGCTGGTGACTACATCTCTTCGATATTAAAAAATCCGTAGGAGTTGATTTTTACACCGCGTAGACGTGGCAGTAACGACAATTCCTAGTTTTTTAACGTTGAATAACGTTTATAAAATCACGGTTACACTCGACGGAAACTGTAAGACGTAAGGTAACGCTGGTGTGTAACTTCTTCAAACGCCAATAACTCGAGAACTATGTAAGATAGGGAATATAAACCTAATATGTAAATTAAAGAGTAAATAAATTGTTGAAATAATTACCCAAAACGTAACAACTATACCCTCGTTCCTTAACTTCAACCGTTTGCCACGTCTAAAACGTAAGAGTTAGATCCGGATATATTTCGAGTAAAATACGTAAGTAAACACGAGCTTTTCAAATTTGCAAACATATTTCAGCTAACTCTTACGGTTTAGGAGTTTTGGCCATTTATTTGGTCACAAAGAACGGTTCTAGAGTAAGTGTGTTGAGTACATGACGCAACGCATAGATAAGCTGTCGGCGGATGACGTCACGTATAGATAAGACGTAAAGGTATATATTAATGTGTAAATAAAATTTTATTTCAGTATAAATATACTTCTATAATTAAACGTTATTCAACGTTAACTAGGGAACCGTGGTTTCACTGTCAATTTTTTAGTCCAATTTGTACTACAAATGTTATGCAGGAGAATACTGGTAATCATCCGAATTATTAACATAATCTTTGAAGTTTAGGCCACGAGTTTTTCCGTAACCTAGCCAAAACATTAGATCAAACTTTTATGGTTTTCTTTAGATTATGGTTTTCTTTAGAATTTCTTAGGAAATAATCCCCAGGGCTAACTAAACTCTTGAATCGCTCGTCACCTACAACGATGACATGAAATAGTTTCTTATTCTCCTCTGTTACACATTTCGTATTCTGAAGCAAACTACTTTCTGGAGATTTATCCATCGTCCCAGATTTAATAAAACACAACGTTTCGGAGATTGGAATCCATCTCCGTCTTCAGGTAAAATCCTACTGTTGGGCCCAATCGATAGAACTAGTCGTGTTTTCTTAAATTTGGGCCGATAAATAATGTATTAATAGTTTGCTTCAACAACGCACCACCGTCACAAACCCTCATAATTTCGTATTCTACATATTTATTCATTCATTCTCGGTTTATTCTGAGATACTTCCAATTACTAAAATAATATAGCGTCGAATGACAGAATGATTTGTAAATAACGAACTGGAAATGTTGTGAAAGGAAGTGGTCGTGGCCTAATTCAAGGTACTATCCCTGAAGATAATGAATAAAACCATTACAATCTTGTCAGGACAGCCGGATTTCGAACGATGATTTGAACCTGGGACCTCCAGAATATGAGGCAACGTTCAGTGATCCCGAGTTCAAAACCCGGATGGGTCGACGGCACAGTTTTCCGCATCAATCATCTATGACAATTTTAATTTTTGAGAAGCAGGAATTAAACGGAAGCTGACCGTGGGTCAGAGCCGACATCATCTACCAGGTCTATTTAATATCTGCTCTCTTCGCTGTCATCGTGTTAGTGGCAACAAAATATTTATTCGTGGCAGATTTAAGAATCTCGCTGGCTGCAGTAGTATTATGTGTTACGTACATAAGCATGGTAATGTTAACCTATAAAATACTTTTGGAATAAATTATCCACGTGTCACATACAAACTCCATTAAACTGCTAAGTTTTACAGCGCAGGATTTTATATGCCTGCACCAGTCAGTGGGGAAATATTTATATTACATTCGTACGCATAACATTACAAGTACGTCGGAAGTAGAAACTTCTTATGTCTCACTGCGTAACATCACGTGCATCGAATTTTTAAGTAGCAGTAATGAAAACGGGTAGTTTCGTCTACAACAGAAATTCCACTTTGTATGTAAGACGCAGGCACCATCTGCAGAGAAGCTGTGATATTCTGTTAAAATATTTGCACGCAAATACAAACTCATTTATATAAATATCAACAATTATTTATTTTAATCCGTCTGATCACAATATTTTAAAATTTCTTATAATTAAGATAATAAAATATCATTGATGTTCCATATCGATTGATCGATTTATATTTTGGAACATCTTTTACACAACATGTTTCAGTTATTACGAAACCATCATCAGGTGTAAAATATATCTAAGAACTTAAAACTCAATTATGATTCCATTTGGTGATGTTTTATGCCATTTGTTTTTCAATTTTGAAACATGTTGTGTAAATGTTCCGAAATGTAAATCGATCAATCGATATGGAACATCAATGATATTTTATTATCTTAATTATAAGAAATTTTAAAATATTGTGATAAGACGGATTAAAATAAATAATTGTTAGAATATTCACAATATGACGCAATTACACTATCTTATAAATATCAAGTCGCGAAATCTCTAGTATAATATTTATAAGCATACATATCATACGTATATTTATTAACAATTTTATTTCTATGAATAGCAAACAAGTTACACTCAGAGTAATTTTTCTCCCGAGTCCCCAGAATGAAATCGACAAAACTTTGTCGGGAGTATCGATACTGAGTACCGATGCTGGTTAATTCTGAATCTTCCTTTACCTTCGAAATAACTTATTTTTACGTCAAAAGGGATGTCAGTCCTTACCTGAGGCGTTTCCTCTTCTCCGCGAGGACGAACATGCTGTTCAGACTAGAGGAACTGCTGTTCTCACGTGTGGGAGGGTTTCCTTCTGTCGGAAACAAATCGCTGGCTTCCTCCTCTGGGATTTCGCCTTCGACTTCCTGTTGGTTGTCATCATGTCCATCCTCACACCCCACAATGAAGTTAACCTTCTCCTGTTCCTGACGTTTCTCCTGAGAAGTCGAAATTGCCTCACCGCCGCTGTCCATCGTCACAATGGCCGGCGCACGATCTGCCACAGAAACAGCGGTAATCAGCCAGCGAAGGACCTGGTTCATCGGGACTGTCGTCGCAAACATGGGACCCAAGGGTACCGGGGATACTGGCCAAGGGAACTTGACCTCCACAACCTACATGAGCCTATATGCTGAGCCGCTATGGTACAGAGCCACCTTCATCTTTGAAAAACTTTAAATTCCGGTAAGGTTAGGTCTAGGCAACACGGAGTTTTCCTCCGGGGGGTTCCCCGGTTTCTCCGTGGCATCCCAACAATTACTCCATTCACACACAGAAGAAGGCAAAGGCAAACCACTTCTGGATCATCTGCCAAGAACGTATATGAACAGGTCCCAGGCCTTGCCCAACACAAGTTATAAATTTGAGCACCACCGGGAATTGAACCCGGGACCCCAGGCTTACGCAAGTTCACATCACACAATGCACAAAATAAGTTAATCAATCCGGTTTTCATTCGGTAACGTTAAAAAACCCCAGCAAATTAGTTATTTTCACGTAAAGACCTCAAACACGCGCGAAGTGTGCCAATGAGTTATGCAAGCAGAGCATCTCTGGTATGTGTGATTATCAGCGCGGAGAGCTTGCCTTCTCTTTTTGTTGGTTCAAAGACGTGTTAATTACAACGTTACACAGCATCCACTGATAACGGAGAGAAAACCACGAAACTCTGAAAAACTCTTTAATTGTATTATCCCGGTATTTCCTGTAGGGACTTAAGAAAACCACGAACATTTTGAGTCAGTTACCCAGCGAGTTTCGGAGAAGCAGATACATCCTGTAATGTGGCGTTCGTTAATTCGTATTTCGCCAAAGCCGAGTCAGTGTTCATTGTTCAACTCTTCCAGGTGATGATAGAGTTGCGTCATATTGTGAAAATATTTTATTATATTATTTAGTGTTCTGTCTGACGACAGGTCCATATGAACAGGATCCTTCCATCCTTTTCTCGGACTGGGACCTGTTCATATACGTTCTTGGCAGATGATCCAGAAGTGGTTTACCATTGCCTTCTTCTGAGTGTGAATGGAGTAATTGTTGGGATGCCAATGAGGAAAACTCCGTGTTGCCTAGGCCACGGCCTTGCCCAACACAAGTTATAAATTCGGGCACCACCGGGAATCGAACCCGAGACCCCAGGATTACAAGGCCAGCGTTCTAACCGCTAGACCACCGTGGCAATTTCGCCACAGTACATGATTTATAATCATTTTCGTCATTTGAAAATATATAATCTACGTAATACATACAGTGTCGTTAAATGAACAAAGATATACAGACGGCCTTGGAGTGACTGAATTTAGATGCAGGACTTAAAAACGCTCTTATAACCAGCCATCGGTCTGCTGTTCTATCCCCGGGCTGAGATTTTAACATCTCCCTTCATCCATTACCAATGCAAGTGAAGAATCTAAGACTTTAATTTCTTTCGTCTGAAAATTTTAAATCACATACAAGAATAATTGTGCATAATTTGAGATTCTCACGGCAGTGAAGATTACAATGTTCTTATGGGTTATGCTCGTATGTAGATACTAACGTTACAGAGATACATAATGTGTCCATCTTCAGGGCTCAGGTGAAAATGTCAGTACATGTGCAAAGTAAAGCGAGAGTCTGCCCCAAAAAATATCTGAAAAATCTTCTTTGAAAATTTTTCACCAATTTTGCAGGCTTCTGAGACCAAAATAATGCACTGATTTCAAACCAGGATCCTGAGAATAAACAAGTCGCGGTCTACTTTTAAACATTCTTGCCTTGAGGAATTGAATAAAACCACGAATACGAGAGGGGTTAAGTCATCCACTCGACCGAGTGATCGCCAACAGCATTCCCGCGGGATCCTCGATGCCCTCGGAAGGGTTCTGGGGCGCCCACGAGAATTTTAGAATATTCACAACGACTTCTAAATGTTTAATGTTTTACTTGTCTTTGCACGTAGGAGTATATTCTCTGTCATATCTACGAATTCAGAGGGATGAATAATGAAATTGACACAAAACAGAATTTCATTTTGAAGCGCGTGTTTTGGGGGCTGGAGAGGACTTAGGTCGGCGTAACGTAACGAACAAAAGTGACTATTTTTTTGTATTCCCAATCGTTCTTAAGTTGTGAGAAGACATTAACCGAATGAGATGTCTGCTTAATATTACTGACTACAACACTGACTTGTGTCATTCTGGTCTCTGTCGGTTATACATCCCTCTGCCATGTGGCGAAAAAGTGAGCCAACATTTACGTTGATCCTGCTTATCACCTGTTACCAGCGTCTCAGTCATCATCAGGGCAGGGACAATATGATCCTCTGAAACGTCTGCAAGAACAAACTTTTACACGGTACCAGCAACAAAAAGGAGGATCGAGAGTGAATCAACTTGAATGCTTAAATCAGTTATTAACCTCGTATGTTTGAATACCAGGAGCTCGTTAAAAACAGGATCTGGTAACTTTCTGATGACGTAAACACGCATTTCTCTGACAAAGAGGTGCCTTCCAAGAAAGTATTGAGGCAGACGAGAGGACAGGCGTAATTCCCCGTAGTTCAGTTGTGTTTCAATGTATGAAGCCAGGGACCCAACCTTTCCAGACCTGGGGACATATTCAGCTTTTCTTAACGACTTGAAAGCCGGAAGGCTTATAATGAGGGCAATTTATTCAAACTTAACGACAATTTATTACAAATGACACTAAAATGCTATTACATACTGTACAGAGTGAAACGAAAATCGCGCACAAGCTCTAAAGAGTGCGATTCCAAAGTCAAAAATTTTACAGAACACATGCCCTGAGACGCTGTTTTCAAATATACAAAGTGCATTGCTTTGTGTACTCAAGACGCACAGCGAACAAAACTCCTCAGTTGTGGCCGAATGACCGTGGAATCCACACACGGCAAATACTTCGACATGCTCATGTAATAGTCGATTTGGTGCTGCTGCACGGGGATACGAGACACGTCATCCCGTTCGACGTCAACAACACGCTAAGGATGACCTCTTTTCACGCAATGTTCTGTGGACACACGAAACGTGGATTGCGCGTTAGGGTGTTTTCTACGAGTCTCCTCCCGGTACGGGATAATCCTCACGCTATCCGCGAACGTGGTTACCAAGTCCGCTTCAGCGTTTGGGCCGTGGGCCCCTATCCGCTACCTGATAGGCTGACTGCTCAAAGATATCGTGATTTTCTTAAAACTGTTCTACCGGGGCAGCTTCAGGACGTGCCTCTGTGAGGCAAAGTACGACGCAGCTCCTGCGCACTGTGAGGAAGATCTCTGGCAGTGGTTGAACGTGACATATCCAGGAAGGATTGGACTTGAAGGGCCGACTCCATGGCCTCTAGGTCGCCGGATCTAACTCAGACGGATTTTTTCTTGTGGGAGCCCTTAAAGGGGAACGGTTAAACACTCCATTCCAGGGGTATCAAATATCTCGCGGAAAGAATTTAAGCATCTGTGACAACGGTCGACGCTAACGTGGTAAGGGGATCACACTGTGAATTTCATTCCAGTTTTTTCTCAATAACTATCGTCAACAGAACCAGTCAATAGTGAGATATTTTACACAGTTTTTTCTGCAGTAATCTTTCAATTTCTGTTACTGGATTCGCATATACCGTTCTCATTGCTGATGAACAAGGCGAATCTTATTACATGTTTCCACAATCATCAACTTTTAACTGCTCATAGCGGCAAGTACTGCCTATCGACGACATTAACAACGTGTGATTCCAGATATCAGATAAAAAAAGTTGTCAGTGGAACCACGGTTCCGGAGAATTTGACGTAAATACGTCTATACGGAAAGGAAGTTTATATATTGGCTTTATTCTAAATATTTCCTTTATACATGCTTTACAATTGAGATAAATTTGATTAAGACATTGCTTAATCAACTTGAATTAGTTACGCTTAAGATGGGTCTGTGGTAGCTGAATGTAATGTAAGGTAAGATAAGGTATTGTAAGGTAAGGTAATGTAAGGTAAGGTAATGTAATGTAAGGTAAGGTAAGGTAATGTAATGTAATGTAA